GGGCTCGATAGGTGCTGGATCTGCCAGTGAGAATAACCAGAGCCCACGTATGCATCATCGATTTATACGTGGCATTTTCATAGCAGATTAACATTTTATTTCTCCTATTCAGCTGATCGAATGAACTTTGATATATTTATTAACAGCCAGTTAAATTTTTTTCCAGTTTCCTTAACATCCTGAATCTGTCTTTTGACTGTTTAAAATATAGACACTATCATTCAATCATTTTTTGCCACATACTTAATATCTCAAACAAAGTGTTAAATTCGCCTGGTAAAACAGCATTATTCAAGTCTTGTAAACAAAGTAATTGAGTTTTAAAGAACCCAACAATTTAAATTAGTGATAAAGAGGGAAAAATAAACAACCAGTGACTTCTACAAAATGAAAAAGTATACCCACGAATTGGGAAGATCCCATAATGCATTGCCTTTGAATTCTACACAATATTATCAGCAAATCTCACTTCTCTTCTGAATCCACCAATTTGAGGCCCTCTGGAATTTCCATTGGCATATTTTCCTGGAGTCGGAATTTTCTTATCAAACCCAAATTCTATATCCCCATCCCTCATGTTAAAGATAGGTTTCTGCCTAGACTCCCATTCTTTTGGGCCTAGGGGGTGGTGGATCTGCTTGGCCTTGGCTTGGTGGTGCTCTTTAGCGTCACGGTGTTGCTCCTTCACAACATGGTGATGCTGCCTGCCGCAAAACCTTCCAAGCACACAGGCTACAGCAGATAGAACGAATATTATGGCCAAGATTACAAATACAGGTACAAATGATCCATTAGGGTTAGGTGAAGACTGTCTAGAAACTGTATTTGGATAAACCGCAATAGGCTGTGACATTTTTTGGGTCGAAATATGTTCTTTGAGTAAAAACTAAGGAAATTTAAGTTGAAGAAATTGAGGAAGGAATTTCATTGAGTATTGACATGTATGTGTATATATATAAGTGGTGTTTTTGAATTGAAAAAGGAGGGGATTTTCTTTATTAAAGAGACAACCAGAAATATTCTTTATGTCGTTTATTGAAGGAGACGAGGTGGTTATTTATTTATTTATTTATTTGCTTTGTAAGGAGAGAAAGTGAGATTTTGGAGCCTTTGAACACAATTCATGAAGAGCGCCTGGAAAAATCCCTAGGAGCTTCTACTTTACCGTAGAATTATTTGAACGATTGAGCGATATGTCTAAGTCTTACAAGAGAGAGGACATAGAGTCTAACGTTATGTAAGTAAGAAATAAAATGGAAGTACTATAGGACAAACTCTAGACCAACTTTTACTATCCATTTATGACTACGAAACTATTGAACTCTTTGATATAATTTAGGATATTTATCCCAAACAGAGTTTGAAGATCATTCTAAAAAAGATGGGACGAGTTCTTCACCTAGTTATATATTGATTATTGATGTTCTTTTGAGGATTATACGCGATTCAATTGTTAGAAGTATTGCAAGCATCAAGTGTACAAGTTAATCTAAACATAAAAGACAGGTTTCTTTAATATAAAATAAAATACTCAGTAGATTGACATACAAGATTTTAACCTTCTTTCCTCTAAATTTGTATGAGAAAAAATAATATGATATGAAATTTGACATGTGAATTTTCAAAAATATCATGAAATTTTGTGCAATCTGATCGCTTAACTCAAGACATGCTTTGTTGGCTTTGCAACTTTATTCGTTGCTTTTGGCTAAAAACATCCTAGTGGAGATGGGTAGGGCTTGATGTTGTCAATGATTACAATATGTGATAGTAGTTTTGTCACCAAATTACCCACAAATGGTGGGGTCTTAAGAAAATAATTCGCAGGTTTTTTCATCATTAACGCACAAATGGTAGGGTCAATATATGAAACAATTCGTATTGGTTTTATGGTTCTATTAGTGTTATTAGTTTTTATTTTAGTTCTATTAAGAATAATAAACATTGAGTTTATATTAACTAAACATCCCTAGCTGCTCTTCAGATATAAGCATATAACTCCCAATTACTTTAAATAATACATGCCAAAAAGCCCAGTCGAAATAGTTCTTGTTTGGGCTGTGATGCCAAAAAGCCCAGATTATTTAATCGGGGGTGATGATGAGATATATGGGCTAGACCCATTGATACTACACACTTAACCATTACCCTATAACTCAAGTGACCCATTAACCCGAGTCCAATACGTGTGCCACGTGTGCTGCTCCAGTCCATTAATCATTTCCTGAAATCAACGCTGCTGCCTTCTTGATATATATTCGACCATTGTGGTTGCCCTAAATGTGTCTTTCATTCTTAAGCTCTGTAGAACCCTCTGGATTCTCTCTAAGTCATTTGGTTTCCTTCGTATTCTTCATTCTCTTTTCTGAAACTTCTGGTTACAGATTCTAAGTGAAATTAGTTGAGTCTTTGTAATTCTTGTAAAGAAGGAAACTGTTGATGATTGTATAGTGTTGTTTTGGTCTGTAGAAGTAACTGCTAGTCGTGTATTGAGGGTTAGGGCTTGGGTCTTATACTTGAACAGATGAGTACAATGTTCTGAGCCCTAAAGATTTCGAGATCCTTGATGTAAGTGGTCGATTATGGGTTGTGAATCAAGAAGAACGTTATTTCATGTGTTGATCTTGTTCATTCTATTTGTTAGATCTTACAGTTCTAATAATTTTATTATAGTAGTTTGTTTTGGAATTATTTAATTTATAGGACTGTGATTAGAAATTGTTTTATCATCTTTTTATGAGGAAACATTTGAAGTAAAATCAACATAAATTTGGAGATGTTACCAGACTATAGCCACCTCATCAGAATACAGGCAAGCTGGAACCAAAATCCCAAAAATGTGTATTTATGGGATATCCCAAAGGTGTGAAGAGGTATAGTCTATTGGCTAGAAATGTCAAAGGTCTTAAAATAATCACTAACAAAAATGTCATTTTTAATGAGAGTGACATGTCATGTATGAGTGAGAAACATCAAGGTGATGTTCCTATGGATGACAAAGAGGATATTACTAAACTACATGTGAAGCCCTGGACTTCAAATGACTGCAGGTCTTGATCAGGTTGATGAGGAAACTGGGAATGATTTTGGTCCACAAGAGGAGAATATCCAAGAACGTGGAGTCAATGATAACCCATTAGAAGATTATTAGTTAACTAGGCTAGAGTGAGGAGAAAGATAAGAGAAGCTGTTAGAATGAAAGATTATCTATCCTTAGTTGTTTTGTCTTACCAGAATTTGGCCTTTAAGGAACCTAAAACCTATGAAGAGGTTGTGAGTTGTCACTTATCAAAAAATTGGGAGCAAGCTATGGAAAAGAGATGGATTCCCTGTTAAAGAATAAGACTTGGAATCTGGTCCCTAAACCTAGGAATAAGTTCATAGTAGATTGTAAATGGATATATGCCATAAAGGAAGGAAATACAAAAAGACAGCCAGTTAGGTTTAAAGTCAGACTTATGGCAAAGGGGTTTAATCAAAAACCTAGTATTAATTACACTAAAATCTTTTCACCTGTTGTTAAATACACCACCATAAGAGTCATGCTTGCCCTAGTTACACAGTATGACCTTGAGACTTGGAAGAAACAATTTATATGAATCAACCACAGGGTTTTATTGATACTAAGGTACCTGAACATGTTTGCTTGTTACAAAAGGTCTTTATATGGGCTTAAACAATCACATAAACAATGGTACAAGAGATTTGATAACTTTGTGTTATCACTTAATTTCTTAAGAACTTCTTTTGATCATTGTCTTTATTTTAAAAAGGATGAATCTAGACCTGTGATTGTTTATTTGCTCCTCTATGTTGATGATATGTTGTTGATTGGCAAAAATATAAGTGATATTAAAGATATCAAATTGTCTTTAAGTTCTGAATTTGAGATGAGAGATTTAAGTCATGCTAAAAGAATTTTGTGAATGGATATAAAAAGAAATAGAATAAAGTAGATTTTATTTCTATCTCAGTCTTCTTATAAAGAAAAGGTGTTATTAAAATTTTCTATGTATGAATCAAAATTTGTTTCTTTACCTATTGCCAGTCACTTTAAACTTAGTAAAGATTAGTGTCCAGTTGATGAATCTGATATTAAACAAATGGAAAGGGTACCTTATGCGAATGCAGTAGGGTCTATTATGTACACATGATATGCACTAGGCCTCATGTTGCACATGCAATTAGTGCATTAAGTATATGCATGGCCAATCCTGGCCTGGAACATTGGACTGCATTAAAGTGGTTTAAGATACTTAAAAGGATCATATGACTTGGGATTATGTTTTAAATTTAACAAAGAGAGTATTGTTCTGAAAGGTTTTGTTGACTCTGACTGTGCTGGGGATAAGGACAATCGGAAGCGTACTTCTATAAGTTGGAAGTCCCAACTACAACCTATCGTTGCCTTATCTACCACAGAAGCAGAATATGTTGATGTGGCAGAAGTAATAAAGTAGTCTTTGTGGCTCAAAGGATTGTTGTGTGAACTACATAAATTATCTAGTCCTGTAGTTGTTTATTCTGACAGTCAAAGTACAACTCACTTATGTTAGAATCCTATTTTTCATGAAAGAACCAAACATATAGATGTTAGGATGCACTTTATTAGAGATATAATTCAAAAGGATTCTATATCATTAGAAAAAAATTCCCACACAGTTTAATCCTGCAAATATGGGAACCAAGGTAATCCCCTTGAACAAGTGTAAATCATGCCTTCATACGTTGAACATTGATACTTGGTTGCATTTGAGATACTGCAGGTTGCTAGAAAGTTGCTTGATGCTGGTGATATGGTGAAAGGAGTTATGAGTAAGCTGGACATGTTCAAAAGAATTTATCATTGGCATCAAGGTGGAGATTGTTTGGGCTGTGATGCCAAAAAGCCAAGTCCAAATAATCTTGGGTGATTATGAGATATATGGGCTTGACCCATTAATACTACACACTTAACCATTGCCCAATAACTCAAGTGACCCATTTGCTTGAGCCCAATACACGTGCCATGTGTGCTGCTCCAGTCCATTGATCATTTCTTGAAATCAATGTTACTGCCTTCTTGATATATACTCGACTCTTATGGTTGCCCTAGACGCGTCTTTCATTCTTAAGCTCTGTAGAACCCTCTGGATTCTCTCTGAGTCGTGTGGTTTTCTTCGTTTCTTCATTCTCTTTTTTGAAACTTCTGGTTACAGATTCTAAGTGAAATTAGTTGAGTTTTTGTGATTCTTGTAAACAAGGAAACTGTTGATAATTGTATAGTGTTGTTTTGGTCTGTAGAAGTAGCTGCCAGTTGTGTATTGAGGGTTAGGGTTTGAGTCTTATACTTGAATAGACGGGTCCAATGTTCTGAGCCTGAAAGACTTCCAGATCCTTGATATAAATGGTCGATTCTGGGTTGTGAATCAAGAAGAACGTTATTTCTTGTATTGATCTTGTTCATTCTATTTGTTAGATCTTATAGTTCTAATAATCTTACTATAGTAGTTTGTTTTGGAATAATTTAATTTATAGGACTGTGATTAGAAATTGTTTTATCATCTTTTTATGAGGAACATGTGAAGTAAAATCAACATAAATTTGGAGATGTTAATCAAAATCTTAGCAAAATACTAAACTTTTTTTATCAGGTATGTTCTTCTGTAATATATATAAAACTGTACTATTATAAGTTTAAGGGTTCTATTACTTTTATCATGAATTTGTCAATAGGATCTTAGCATCCGTTTGATAGTGTTGTATTCCATGAAAAATCTCACATTCGAGGAATTTAGTTTCTATCTTAGCATGTTTTTGGCCAATTCCATGAAAATCGAATTTTTATGGTTTTAGTGATTTTTTTTTTTTTCCAACTTACATGGAATTGGTTTGCCTTTTCTATTTTTGCTATCAAACGGACCTTATT